GAGAGCCACCTGGACTACTCGAAAAGGCCTGCGGGCTCCGGGGACGAGCATTTGACGCCGTGCGGGCCGGGCGGGGGGGCGAACTTGGGAATAGTGGGACGCCCCGGGGCCCAAGGACCCGGTCGCCGGGCTATTTATATAGAACCACGCGCGCGCTTCGCGCGCTTGGGTTCTAGCAAGCCTCGGCCACTGACAAACTCACAGCTGCCTGCGTGTGGGTAGCCACGAACGGTGTGACACCTGGTCTGAGGGCGCAAGAGCGCGGACCGAGCAGAGAAGCTTCTCTTGGGAGATCGTGGGGGGTACCCTACAAGTTCGTTGGGTGTTTGAGATCCGCCTCACCAGTGTCGTGAAGCCATCTTGTGTGTGCGGGGTGCAATACCGCTCACATTTCTCATTGCCCCAATCCCCTCTCTAACGTCTCATGTGCACTGGTTGCCCGTGCCTGCTCCCGTTCGCTCCCTCTCACCCGCTGCCTCCGCTGCCGTCTGGGCTTCGGAGGGCCCTTGAGCTGTTTGGCGACAGCGCCCGCTTGTGTGCATTCGAGCGAGAAAGGTTGCGAGGCTCACAGAGCCCACACTCCAGAGATCCCAAAGGTCCTGTGCATCGGACCACGCTCCGAGAAACCCCTGTTTTGAGTTGATATTATTGAATTGGCAGCGCAGAGCAACTTTCCTACGGACAGTGCCGCCATGTCGAGGAGGAGCACGCCTCCCAACACGCCACCTGTTGGTGGCCGCGCTGCTGCAGATGAGGGCGATGACGACGATGATGGAGAGTTCTCGGCCAAAGGAGGCAAGCGAGGTAAAGGACGTGATCCACACGACGACCCTCGCTCCAGGCCTCGTGGCAACCTACCGCCGCCTCCGGAGTTCGACGGTAACATGGAGGATCCCAAGATATACAGACGCTATAAGGCGCAGGTCGAGAACTGGGTTTTGATTGCGAAGAACATCATCGGCCCCGAAGATATGGCACCAAGACTGTATGCAGCGCTCAAAGACAAAGCTTTCGATCACGTGGAGAACGAGAGCCCGACAGTTTTCGCAGTTCCGAACGGTGTGGTGCTCTTACTCGACAGGTTGGCCTATGTCGATCAACGCCCGACGGTCAAGATAGGCGCCGCGATGGACGACTTCTTCCACATGGAGCACGTCAGGCCAGGCGAGACACTACTTCAGCTCGCCACTCGAGTAGACAAGGCGGTGCTCCAGGCAAAGTCGGTCGATTTGGACATCCCAGATCCGATTATCATTAGGCAGTTCATGAAGAGTTCGCAGCTGGACCACAAGACACAGGCCACATTATTGATGGCAGCAGGTTCGAAGTTCGAGTGGAAGCCTCTGAAGGAGCAAGCGGCCATCTTGTTTCCCATGCCGCTGGTGCCGCGCAATAGGTTCCAAGGAGATCGCAAGTACCGTCCTCAGTACAGCGCTCACGTTACGAACCAGGAGACGTACGAGAGAGAGGTCACCGAGCCCGAATACCAGCACGATCACGAAGATTGGCAGGTGACCGACGCAGATCTCGGATACGACGACTCGTACGACAACAGCTGGGAGGAAGATCCCGGCGACTTCTGGGACGAGCAGCTGCCTGAGGCGTTGGCCAGAGAGATCCACACAGCTCACGTTACGTTCAAACAGGCTCACGATCGTCTCAACCAGGCCAACAGGGCACGAGGTTACTACAACACGAAGGGCAGCAAAGGCAAGGGTAAGCACGGCAAGGGCTAGCAGCCGAATCGTTCCGGCAAGGGCAAGGGCAAGGGCAATGACGGAGGCAAGGCACGACGTGGCATGTCGTTGGAGGACCTCAAGAAGGTGACGAACTGCTCGGCTTGTGGCGAGATCGGCCATTGGGCAGGTGACCGCCAGTGCCGAGCGCCAGCCTCAAAGAGAACATCGACAGGTACGACGGCTACACGGAGTGCGAACGAAGCCTCACAGTCTTCCGACGCCTGGTGGCCACCTGCCCATCAACAGCCTGCCAGTCAACACGAGCACGATCAAGATGGACGAACGACTTCAGGCGCGTCTTCGGCTTCGACAAGACATGGTTACAGTGCGAACAGATTACCCACAGTTTCTGAATCTGAGTATGTACATCAGGTCCTAGCGGCGACCAACAATATCCACGAGACACTCGGTACGACGCCGCCTCAGGTTGCCGGGTCACGACGTCAGGGTGCTGTCCGAGAATACGGACTTCACGAAGATGGTACACAGCACCAAGAGCCCGATCACGCACGACATATCATGATGACGTACGGCAACGGTGGCCAGAGGACGAAGTTCAATACGAAGAGCTTTCACAAGGAGCGCTCGATCTACATGATGACGATGGTGAAGGACGTTTTCAGCACGGTGAACATCGACAGCGACGCCAACCTTCTGGTGCTCGACACTGCGTGCCAGACGACGGTCGCTGGACTACGAGGGCTTCGACTATTTCAAGAACGTTATCTCGACCGACAGGGTCTACAGGTATGCTCTCAACCTGAACGTGAACAGTATCGCTTCGGTCCTGGCGAGCCGATGACGAGTACAGAACGTTGGTCAGTACCGGTCGGAGTTCACGGACGTGCGATGGTTTTGCACACTTCAACGATTGATGATGTGGCGACGGCTCGTTTACCTTTCCTGGGCGGAAGAGACTTGATGACAGATCTTGGTTGTGTGATCGACCTCGCTGGTTCTCGAGTCCATTTTCTGGCTGCTCAGCTTCCGAACGTACAGCTTGTGATGTCTAAGAGTGGACATCTCGCAGTTCGGATCGACGACTGGCCAGTTACAGGTTTTCCAGTCGACGCAGGCTTTGAGATTGATGCCTATACAGTTTCGGTGTGCGAGCGCAGCCTGCGAGAGTCGAATCACATCTCACTATCTCTCTGCGATCGTCGGTCAGCTCGCGTCACCGATCGAGACGACCGAGAACACCACGACGTACATGATTCCGATCGAGCCGAACGACAGCACCGAGAACTACGACACCGCAAGCCCGAACCCGATCGAGCAGTACCTCAGCTACGTCGAAACGTCCCCGATTCGATTGACAAGTTCTATGAGTATTTCCGAGATCACGATTGGGGCGATCTACGAGAATACGGTCGCGAGATCCGATTCGATTGACAAGTAGGTCCGGGGCGATCTACGAGAATACGTCAGGAGAACGACGATGAGGAACGAAACAATGACACGGAGATCCATCGACATGTTCCGTTCTCAGCCGAAGCAAACTACACGATCGATACCAGAGCCATTTCGGCGCTGAGTCATTCTATGAGGACAGCCTCAAACGATTTCCATTCTCCATATCCAGAGACCGTGTATGCCACGGACTCCAAAGGTCACCACCGAAGACCTGCGGGCACGATGCTTGTGGTCATCAGAATGTTCGACAGGAATCAAAGGTACAAGGTGATCGACAGTTTTCTCAGCAGACAGTTTCCAGCGATGCAGATCTTGTGTCAGGACAAGACCGTGGACAGCTTCATTCCAAATGCCAGGACAGGATCACGGACGAGGATGTCATGCTACCCGGATCCGAACAAGACGTGCTGCCATCCTACCAACGGGGAGCACGAGCACACAGTTCCAGCCGGGAAGTTCAAGGAGTGCCTCTATTGCGGGACGGTCTGGAAGGGCGAGAAGTACCAGATCAGGACGACGGATGTGATCTTTTGGAATCTCCACGGGACGCGAAAGACTCCAGGCGCAAAGATCGATCGCATCACTCCATCGGCAAGCAGTTCATGCGCGCCGCCTTCCTCGTCGGCTCAGCGCTTACCTCCATCATCACGGCCTGGGCGCCCAAATATGACACGAAGATCATCGAGTCTACGAAGGAGGAGGTCACCAAGCGCGGAGGCGATGGACGAGGAGCAGGACTCGAGCTGGGAGCGACCACCTCATGCGGAAGCCAACTAACGACAGGTCAGGCGAAGAGGTACTACGGCATGGCCAAGTCCGCCTACAACAACTTGCAGCTCGAGAAGCGCCTCTATGAGAGACGAATGCAGAAGAGCCGTTTTCCACGACGCCAGCGACGCGGCTTCGACATCTACGAGATCTTCGCGGGCGAGTGCGGCATCACCCTGCATGCCACCGACCGCGCCAACGGCTGGGGCATGCGAGCTCTACAACCGGTGGACAAGCTGTTCGGTCAGGACTTGAAGAAGCAGAAGGCCAGGAAGGAAGTGCTCGAGACGATCGACAAGTGGCGGCCGCGCTTGGTCATCATCCAGCTTCCGTTTACACTCTGGTCGCTGCTCAACCGCAACGTCAACTACAAGGAGATGCCCGATGTGCTGGAGGACCTACGCGATGAGGAGCGGTGCTTCATCACCTTCACGAAGGACATCTTCGACAAGCAGAAGGACTACGGCAACCACGCCCTGCTCGAGAATCCCGCTACTGCCGACTCGTGGCGCGAGGAGGCAATCGTCAAGCTCAGGAACGACAACTACGAGTGCACCTCTAATATGAGCATGTTCGGCATGGTCGGCAACCAGGGCCTCCCCATGAAGAAGCTGGTCCGTTGGTTGGGTACGCATCCACTTCTCATTCAAGAGCTCGACCGACACTGTGACCACAGCCATCCACATGAAGAAGTGCAAGGAGGTGGACCTAATTGCAACACCAAGCTCTCACAGGTCTACACCTGGCAGCTAGCCGACGCCATCTGCCGAGGTCTCACCAGGGTCATCGAGAGCGAGGAATTCGGACACGGCATCTACCTGTGCAGCTACTACCCCGTCTCCTACGACGCTCCAGCCCCTACCGTGCACCACGTCTGCTATTCGGCGCCCGACATGGACGATACAAAGTGGAAGAACATCATGCAATCGGTCGTCGATGTCATGAGTCGAAGGAACGCCCCCTCAGCTCAGGTGGCGCAGGACTCAGAGATGTGGAAGCGGGTGTCCGAGTTGGTTCCCTGGCAGCTCTTGTACATGTAGGCCGCCTTCCAGCCGAAGGCGAAGCGTCTTAAACCTGAGTATGGTCCAGACGTTCATAGATGTTCCGTTCTTCTACTCGAAGATAATCGCATCATCGTCGAACACGAGTACGTCCCAGAGGCCTACGCACCACGAGAACGATTTCAAGACCCAGTACGATACGGGTTGTTTATTATCGGACGTGCTCCAGTTGGCGAAGTACCAGCACCACCTCGACCACCAGTCGAAGGCGAATCACGACAGCCAGTCCCAGTACCCGACGAACCACCGCCAGACGAACTTCAGCCTCAGCCTGTTCAACAACGTGCCGGCGACGAGATTTGGTTCGCTGGACCCCCGCTCACGCCGGAGGAGAAGCGCGCCGCCCCCATCGTTGCCAGGATGCACCAGAACTTGAGCCACCCGCTGCAGACTGATTTCACGAGGTTCCTGAACGCGAGCGAAGCGAGCCAGGTTGCGATCGATCTCAGCCGACGTCTGCGATGCAGTTCATGTTTACGAAATGTCAAACCACGACGCCCACGACCCGCCAAGATTCCATACATGGGTTCGTTCAATGCTCGAGTTGGTTTGGATTTCTTTTATCTATCTGATTCTGCTCTTACGACACATCAGTTCTTGGGAATTTTGGAGATGTCAGGTTTACTGATGGTGGTGGTTCATTGTCCGACTCGTGATCCTACTCAGGTGCTGGAGATTTTCAATTTGGCTTGGTTGTCTTGGGCTGGTTATCCAGATCATGTGGTGTGCGATCGTGATGGAGCTTTTCAGGCTGCTTTCGTTGAACATCTTGAGGCTCACGACGTTCACGTCGAGAAGCCCCCAGCTGAAGCTCACTGGCAGTCAGGACGAGTCGAGGCGAACATCACGCTCTGGAAGCACATGGCTAAGAAGGTGATTGACACGATGCAGCTTGCCGGAGTTGAGGACATGAAGCTGATGGCACCTGCGATCAACCAGTCTCGTAATTCTCGTGTTCGACAATGCGGTGCTTCACCATATCAGTGGACTTTCGGTAAGGACCCGAGGATCCCCGACAGCATCACCGACCCAGCTAACTCTGCCGTCGTACACAGCGCCATGACCGCAGATGCCGAGCTTGCTAAACGAGCCCGGGTACGAGCCCTCGCAGACATGGCCTTCACCGAGTACGACAGGTCCGAGTCTCTCAAGCGCGCGATGCTTCGAAATTACCGACCTTGCCGAGGAGACTACGCACCGGGAGATCGAGTGGCTTTCTGGCGTCAGGCGAAGAACAAGAAGGGCAAGCAATACCCAGCAAGGTTCATTGTGGCTACTGTGGTTGGTCCTGGTGGTAGTGGCGGTGCCGATGACAGCAATGTTTGGGTACAGTCTTCAGGACATCCGATCTTGGTTTCAAAAGAACAACTTCGAGAAGCACATGGTACTGAATTGTGGATACCTGATGAGGAGGACTTGACTGAGCTACGCAAGGCTACTCAAGCACCACCTGAACGATTTCACGACGAACGTGCGGTACCACCTGCCGAGATCGACCCGAACGATGTGATCGTGTCTGATCTAGCCGCTGCTCTACGAGATGAAGGAGGACGTGAACACGTTCGAGGACTTCTACCACCTCCTGCTCAGCCACCGGCTGAACCACGACAGCTAACCGAGGCCTGCGGCTCCGGGGACAACATGAACGACAACATACTGCCAACTGTTCGGCCACTACCTGAAGACGCTGTAGGAGATACTCGAGCTGCCCGGCGACCTCGCTTTGCAGAACCAGAGACGCCAACAACACCGCCTACTTCACCGGCACCAGGCGCGACCTACGTTTGCTTCAACGGCACTGAGCAGAACTCTGCCATTCCGATCTACATGTGCGAGCAGTATACTATTCTCGAGTCACCAGCCTACGAGGTCTACCTCAACAACAACGGCAGCTTCACTATGACCAAGAAGGACCAGAAGGCGCTCATTCGTGAGATCCCCTACTCGCAGATCCCTGCAGATCAGCTACATCTATTTCGAGAAGCTCTGGCCCGTGAATGGTCATCTTGGCAACGTTTCTCAGCCGTGGAGGTCTTGGATCTGAAGACGTCCAAGTCTATCGAGAGCGACCCCGAGAAGAAGAAGCGCATTATTCCATCAAGAGTCTGCTACCGCGACAAGAATGCCGGACGTGGAGTTTCTGAGATCGACGCCAAGGCGAGGATCGTGGGTATCGGCTACAACGACCCCGACATCATGACTCTCAGACGTGACGCACCAACACTTACGAGAGCTGGTTTTTACATCTTGTTGCAGACGATCTCGAGCTGGGACTTCAACTTGTTCGGAGGCGACGTTACCACAGCCTTCCTACAAGCCGATCAGACCAAGGCCCAGCGCGACAAGCCGATCTACCTTCGACAACCTTCTGAAGGACTTCCAGGTGTTCAACGCGGTGCTCTCCTACTTGTGCGACGTGCTATCTATGGTTTCGTCAATAGCCCTCGCCTGTGGTGGCGAGAACTTCGTGACTTTCTTATGCACATCGGTGGCAAGCAGTGTCTGCTGGACAAGGCTCTATTCTGTTTCTACAACAAGTCATGTCGCATTATCATGATTATCGGCATCCACGTGGACGACCTCATCGGAGGCGCAGATGCTCGAGAAGGCTCCAAGCTCTTGGAGACCATCCGCCAGAGGTTCACTTTTGGCAAATGGTGGGACAACAAGTTGACCTACTGTGGCAAGCATCTTAAGAAGAACGAGAACGGCACGATTTTCATCAACCAGAAGGAGTTCTGTAGTCAATGCGTGCCGGCGCCACTGCCGCGATGGAGATCTGCGACGCCTGAGGCCGAGCTCACCAGCGAGGAGAAGACCAATTTCGCGAGTGGTGTAGGATCTTGTCAATGGTTGAGACGAGGCCGGATCTAGCTGCTGCGACTTCTCTTGGACAAGGCTCGAATCCGAAGATTTCTAATTTGATGGCTATCAATCGTATCCTACGCGAGGCACGAGATTCTCAAGATGTTGGACTATATGTTGTGCCGCTGGATTTTACGAGAAGTGTTCTCATCACGTTTACTGATGCTGCATGGGCTAACGCTCAGGAGAATCAAAGTCAAGCTGGTTTCATGGTTTTCTTGTCAGATGAAGATAGTTTGACTTCCAAGGGCGGAGCGGCTACTCTACTTGATTGGCGTTCCCATCGTATTCGTCGAGTGGTTCGAAGTACTTTGGCCGCCGAAGCAATGGCAATGGATGCTGGTGTGGACACAGCTTACTTTCTGCGTCATTTGTTCGCCGAGGTCTTGTTTCGGGACTTCAAGCCGGGAATTTCAGGTAGGCTCCCGAGTTTCTTCATGCCGATTAAGGTGGCAACCGATTGCAAGTCTTTGTATGACATACTAACTAAAGAAGGGACTCCATCTACAACGCTGGAACGGCGTTTGAGTATAGACATCGCTGCGGTAGCACATGTTGCCGAGGAGTTCGATGACGAGAATCCGAAGTCTACTGTGTTTTGGGTGCCGACCGATAAGCAAGTTGCGGATCATTTGACCAAGGTAAAACCTCCGAGTCAGTTGCGAGAGACTTTTGCGAATAATGAACTGAGTCTCCGGACGGATAGCGGATTACCCTCGTGAGTGAACGGTTTCCTGTTCTGTTTCATAAGGCTAGGTGACACGTCTGAGATGTCACGTTTCATTTCCATATTGACGTTTTCCGTGTTTCGCCGCCGTGCGAAAGCCTGCCCGTACGTTTGCTGCGTAAGCTATCGTGTGAATCCGAGCTACGGAAGCAGTTTAATTCGTACGTCTGTTCGGGAGATTTTGGGCAACAGTAAAGATAGTGAGTGCAATACCGCTCACATTTCTCATTGCCCCAATCCCCTCTCTAACGTCTCATGTGCACTGGTTGCCCGTGCCTGCTCCCGTTCGCTCCCTCTCACCCGCTGCCTCCGCTGCCGTCTGGGCTTCGGAGGGCCCTTGAGCTGTTTGGCGACAGCGCCCGCTTGTGTGCATCCGAGCGAGAAAGGTTGCGAGGCTCACAGAGCCCACACTCCAGAGATCCCAAAGGTCCTGTGCATCGGACCACGCTCCGAGAAACCCCTGTTTTGAGTTGATATTATTGAACGGGGGCGGTTAGGGAAGGTCGTCGGTCCTCTTGGGTCGGTTTTGTACCGTCTTGGGCTGGCCTGTTGGGGGCCGTTTGGGTCTTGGGGACTCGTGCGGGCGTCCTGGAGGCATATTTTGGTCTCTTGGGGGCCTCTTGGGAGCCTTCTGGGGGTCTTGGGGATCCTCTTGGGGCGAGAAGCTCGAACCTACAATTCGAATTCCCCCTCTTGGGCCCCTGTTAGGGCCCACTTGGGGCGTTCTTGGGCCGTCTTGGGCGCCTCTGGGGCCGTCTTGAAGCCCTGTTTGGCCGTCTTGGGTCCCTCATCTTTTGGTTTTGGTGCTTTTCCAACAGAATTCCCCCTTGGGCTCCCCGGCCCCTCCCGCCTGCCACCTGGAAGGGACTGCAAACTGCGCATGTCGATGCCTGTCACGCCTAGGATGGCCCTTACTGGACTCCAAGGCGCCTCCAAGACGGCCAAGATGGCCTCCAAGTCAGCCTAAGATGGTCCAAGATGGCCTCCCGGACGGCCCAAGAGGGTCCAAGATGCCTGCAAGTCCACCCAAGAAGCCACCAAGACGGCCCAAGAGGTGCCCAAGAGGCCACCAAGATGGCCGAAGAGGCCTCCAGGAGGTCAGCCAGGAGGGCCTAGAGGCTAAAACTATATATATATATATATATATATATATATATATATATATATTCCTGTGGAAGGTTTTTGAACCATTGTCGCATTTGCTCCTTTTCGGCCTTCCAGCGGCCCGAGACGGCCCAAGAGACCCCCAAAATCGCCCCAAGGTCGCCCAAGATGCCTCCAATATAGCCCCAGAACGGCCCAAGAGGCCCCCAAGACGGCCCCAAGAGGGCCCAAAGACGGTCCATGAGGCCTCTGAGACGCCCAAGAAAGCCTCAAGTCGGCTCAGGGAGGCCCCCAAGACGGCTTCCGACGGGCCAGGAGCCCACCAAGACGGCCCAAGATGGCTCCAAGATGGCCGAAGAGGCCTCCAAGAGGGCCCCCAAGAAGGCCCGACGAGTCCAAGATCATTGATTGCTTGGGTTTTCGAAGGATGTTGGCATTTGCTTTTCCCAACCATCCTGTGGTGTTGGGTCCTCGTTTTGAAGAGACAGCGCCCGGCGTTCCTTCCTTCCTCTTTTCCTTCCTTCCTTCCTTCCTTCCTTCCTTCCTCCTCCCCCTCCTCCCTCCTCCCAGCCCTGCCTCTGCCCAGTGCATGTCCTCGTCGTCGTCTCCCCCACCCAGCACGGCGTTTCGTGGCCCCCCTTGGGAGCTTCACCTAATGCCCCAGTGGCGGTGTCCACATGCGTCTCCCCCACCCAGCACTGCGTTTCGTGGCCCCCTTGGGAGCTCCACCTCAGGCCCCAGTGGCGGTGTCCACATGCGTCTCCCCCGCCCAGCATCGCGCTTCGTGGCCCCATGGGGAGCCGCATCGAAAGGCCCCATTGGCGGTGTCCACATGCGTCTCCCCCACCCAGCACGGCGCGTCGTGGTCCCATAGGGAGCTCCACCTAATGCCCCAGTGGCGTTGTCCACATTCGTCTCCCCCACCCAGCACGGCGCTTCACCCCATAGGGAGCTTCACCTGAGGCCCCAGTGGCGGTGTCCACATGCGTCTCCCCCATCGAGCACGGCGCTTCGTGGCCCCATAGGGCACCAAAACGGCTTCCGACGGCGTCAGACGGGCCAGGAGCCCACCAAAACGGCCCAAGATGGGCCTAAGAGGCCTCCAAGAGGTCCCCCAGGAAGGCCCGAAGAGGCCCAAATCGCTGATTCCCTTTCGGTTTCTAAACGGATTGTGGCATTTGCTTCTTTTCGGCCTACCGACGGCCCGAAACGGCCCAAGAGCCTCCAAAGATCGCCGCAAGATCGCCCAGGAGGTCTCCAAGATGGCCCCAGAACGGCCCACCCAAAAAGTCCACAAGACGGCCCCAAGAGGGCCCCAAGACGGCCCAAGAGGCCTCTGAGACGCCCAAGATGGCCTCCAAGACGGCCCTGGGGCACCCGAAGAGGGCCCCAAATCGGCTCAGAGAGGCCTCCAAGACGGCTTCTGACGGCGTCAGACGGGCCAGGAGCCCACCAAGACGGCCAAAGATGCCCCCGAGAAGCCCCCAAAGGCCCCCAGGCCCAAGGAGGCCGCCAAGATGCCTCCAAGAGGCTCCCAAGATGCCCCCTCCGCCTCCTCCTCCTCCTCCTCCTCCTCCTCCTCCTCCTCCTCCTCCTCCTCCTTCTCCTCAACTTGTTCCTTCTCCTCCTTCTATTCCTCCTCCTCCGCCTCCTCCTCATCTCCCCCGCCATCCTCCCCCAAGTGTTCCCTTGGGCGCCCGAGTCATCCGGGGTAACTCGGGTCCGGGGTAACTCGGGTTTGGATTCCCGAAAAACGAACCCGAGTTAGCCCTGACCCGAGTTACCCCTGATGAATTGGGGCTCTGGGCGCCGGAATTATCCGGGGTAACTCGGGCCCGGGGTAACTCGGGTTCGGAATCCCGAAAATCGAACCCGAGTTAGCCCTGACCCGAGTTACCCCTGATCAATCGGGGCTCTGATTCCCCGAAGGGTTTCCACAACGGTTGGGGAACACATGGTCCGATAGCTTTGCAGAGCTCTTGCCACAACACTCGGCCACATGGGCGATTCTAAAGGCAGGGGGCGGCGGTGATTCGCCGTAGGCGCCTTCGATAACACTAACGTCTCAATATGCGCTGATCATTCCAATCCGCCCCCGCATGATGTTCCCGCGACTCTGCTATATTCCATTGTGATAAAGAGAGGGGGCCGGCAGCAGGGGGCGAAACCCTTACGGATAAAAGCAAGGGCCGCTGCTAAAAATCACCGCCAGGTGCTGCAGGTGGACGACTGCTCAGAGAGTCGGCTTGCAGCACGCATACAAACACACATACACACACACACGCACTTTTGCGTCGGCGGCTGGGTAGAGGTTACTGCTCCGGCGATCTGGCATCAATGGGGCGCGCTAAATGCAAATTGGGCCGCGGTGCGCGGGGGAAGAAGAAGGAAGCCCGGCGCAGGCGGGAAGAGAGGAAGCCAGGCCCGACAAACACACACAGACGTACAGGCGCACGCACGTACACACACAACACAACACAAAACCACACAACACAACACAGCACAGCACAGCACAGCACAGCACAGCACAGCACAGCACAGCACAGCACAACACAACACAACACAACACAACACAACACAACACAACACACCACACCACACCACACCACACCACACCACACCACACCACACCACAACACAACACAACACAACACAACCACAACGCACACACACAAGTACACTCTTCTACAACCATGGTGCGAGCATCACTCCCAGACACGCCACACGAGCATTAGGTCGGGCATGTCCTCCTACAGGCAGATTTTGGAGGAACAATACAATATAGTGAACAAAATCCCCAACTAGTCCAACATAATACTTGAAAACTCGTCACCAGACTACTTTTGTTAAGGGAACCTCCGATCAGAAATCCAGGGTCTGGAAGCCAGTGGAAAGCCAATCGTGGATTGACCATGGATATCACCGCCGCCCTCATCAGATAAGGAAACCTCAGGGTCTGAAGCCTCCTGGGCACGTTCCCTAACGAACGCCCCCACTGTATTCCTCCTGTAGAGGGACACGCCCGACTTAACACGAGCACAGTGCAGCCACACCTCTGGAATGCGGTCTCCGTTGACTTCCAGGTCGGGATCGACGTCTGCTGGGCCCTTCCGCGGGTCTTCCTCTGGCGCCCCTCGCGCACCGGGGCGCTGCTGAGGCCCCAAATGGGGCTTCCTTC